TGAAAACTGAGGAGCACTCAAAGCTGGTCACTGGAAACGTATGCAATATCATGTATTTTCAACGGGAGGCCAAAATATTACAAATTATTTTAAGTGTAACTGGCAGAGTTGCTGTGTTGGAATGGATGTGAGATTTTTACCCCAAAACAAGGCTGCTGAGTTCATTTTGATTTAGTTTTAGTGAAAGTTGATTCACATCATACCCTCTCCTTCACAGCACGTCTGACTGTGAGTCCCAGCAGCTCTCAGCTGTTTAAAGATACATTTGTGTCTCTGAGCTGTGAGGAGGACGACAGCTCTGCTGGATGGACTCTGAGGAGAAACACAAGCAGACAGCAGAGGACTCAGTGTGGAGATGGGTGGGGAAAACCAGCTGGTTCTTCCTGTAACATCAGCTACATTGACCCACTTGAAAGTGGAGTTTACTGGTGTGAGTCCAGAGAGGGTCCCATCAGTAACATGGTTAAGCTGACAGTCACTGGTAAGCTGAGTGTGTGGAGATAGTGTTGATGAAGCTGTGTGTAAATGGATGAAATGCTGTAGTTTGTCTCTGTGTTGAGGTGGATCAGTGATCCTGCAGAGTCCTGTCCTCCCTGTGATGGAGGGAGATGACGTCACTCTGCTCTGTAAAACAAAGACCACTCCCTCCAACCTCCCAGCTGCTTTCTTCAAAGATGGCGTCTTCATTGGGAATAGGTCTACAGGTCACATGACCATCCAGCATGTTTCCAGGTCTGATGAAGGCCTCTACAAGTGTGACATCAGCAGTCATGGAGAGTCTCCATCCAGCTGGATCACTGTCACAGGTGAGGAGCTTCACTCTGATTTCACCTCTTATTTCATCCACATATTCACTGAACAGGAGCGATTCTCTCCGCAGGTGAAACTCCAATTATCCACTGAGCTCCGCCCCAGTATCTCTCCTGCATTTTGACTTTACAACAATGGGCTAACTGGTGTTGTTCTGTCTATACTGACCTATTAATTAGTAATCAATATCTGCCTCCAGTGATAAACACATCCACCAGTGGTGAGCAGGGATTGGACAAGGAGGTTGATGATGTCACCCCAGAGCATCACAGAGCAGTTATGAACTGAATCAAACCAGCGCTGTGTGTTTATCAGCTGTTTCCACTTTGCTTTTGTTTACATGTTTTCTGAACCAGATCATAAACTTTTGACTCTACATGTATCATCTGTTCTCAGGAAGACTTTGTCATGTTCCACGATCATGTCCCAAATTTGTTTAAATCTTTAGCTCCTCCCATTAGTGTGTCTGGTTGTGTGTGCACCGCTCTTTGCTGTTTGTTCTTAGATGAAATCAATAGTTTTTGTAAATAAAACACTTAACCATTGTACATTCTGAGTGTTTTGCACAAGGTCAAGTAGGAGTCAGAAGACAGCTATATTATTTTTTTATTTGTTTTGATTTAAAAATTGTTTCCCCTCTTTTTCATTGTTTAGGAGTAGCGGTGGGCCAAGCAAGGCTGTTTATTCATCTTTAGCTTAAATCTATAGGAAAGAACACGTCAAGTCACACACATGATATTTTAGAGAGTAATATTTTGCTTATGTTATCATGTTCTGTTGGCATAGACTGCTTCTGTTTTTGCTTGGGAAATAAATTAAATTTTAAATGCCTCTAAAATGATGGGGTACTGAATTTTTTTGTTTGTTTAACTATAGTCACCTGGGACACTTTGGGCAAATATAGATGATTAAGTAAAGACTGTGACTGGATAGAAGAACATGAATGACTGACGTATGCCAACTGTGATTTTTGCCTTTTCTCAATTTGTGTGATCACATTGAAGGTCCTCACATAATTTAGCTTCCAGGTGGGAACACAGCTCTTCTAATCAAGTTTAAACTGAAGTAACAAACACACCAAGTCTTTGGAAGTCTTGGATCTTTTTGAAAGTAAAAGTTAATAAATTATTGAATGCTTCTCATTGCTAAATTAGAGGGAGGGAAACATGACTCCCTCCAACGCTATAAACTCACTGAGACATCTTTCAGGAGCAGATTCAGGAGCACACAAAAAAACACATGAAACATATTTTTGATCTTTGAGTTCCAAAGCCTGACTTTTACAGAGAATCACAAGAAACATTGGAGAGAAAAAAAATGATGATGAACTATTCCGAGATCTAGTAAAAGGTTCATTACAAAATAAATAAGGAATAAAGATCATTGAAACAGGCCTCAAACTCCAAATTGTGCTGTACCAAACAAATTCTAAAAAACTCCACAAGATGGCACTCCAACACAAGGAATGAAATTATACCTGCTCAGGCAGGTCAGCGATCAGGTCCTCTAACTAACCTCTGTGCACCAGGAATATAGCTCCATAACTCCTCTGCTTAACAGTCACACAATTCAATGTTCCTGTTTTTGTATCCAGCTCTGAGGTCAGTTTTAACATTTTGGCAATCAGCTGTTTAATCTGTTTCACACCTACACACATAAATTCATTTGGGATTTTCATAATAAAATTATTTGTGTGTTAGCCATTGTGTTTTTATTGTACTCTTTATTAGTTTACTCTAATCTGTATTTGTGACAGAAAGGACCTGAGGCACATAACACTGCAGGCACATGAATATTTTATGTACAGCTTTCCAGCAGCCTCCAGTGCAGCACAGCTCAGCATCCTGCTCAAATAGGGCGGCATGATTACATGATGGAGGTCACCTGTGTGGGTCACCCTGCAGCTGAGCCACAAACCACCACAGTAAATTAACTTAATTGATAAAGCATACCAAAAAAAAACTTTTATCAAATCTTACTTCAAATTACAAAAATTTGATGGCCTTTTCATTTAAGCACCTCCCACTGTTCCCAGCACTGCTGAAGCCACCAGGCTTGAAACAAAGCTCCAGCACACAGGAACATAGGTTTACATGGGTTTTCTGTTATTCATATAATAACTGTTTGTAGATGCAGAGGGTTCATTCACACATCTACTTCCTAAACATTGCAATTTTCTTTGGATTGATTCCAGATCAGACTAAAGCTGCACACACTGATTTGAGAGGTCAGAGTTTTCTTTTCCTCTCAAGGCTCATTTCACTCTGTGATCAATAAAGTTATTGTTATTGTCTTTCTGCTAAGGACTGAAAAAGAAATACAAAACACTGATACATCTTAAAACTTTATTTATAAAAACATGTTTCTAAACAAACAAACAAAACACTTTTGATTTGGGGCAAACAGTCACTATTTCTACTCCTTAGTCATTCACTCACATGTATTCTGTGTTGTTTATACTGACTTTCATTCGTCTTCTCACCAGTGCATAACTCCACTTGCTTCCTGCTCTCACTACAGATCACAGTGTTTGCAAAGTCATTTCACAACAAAGTCTCCTTGTCTTCTGAATTTACAATTAGCTTGAATTACAGAGAAATAATAAGGTAGTGCACGCTGGTAAAGACACTGACAGAATGTTTTGTTGATCCAAAAACCAACAACACCACTAACAGCAAAAACTGAAAGACCAACTATGAGTCCAACAGATCTGCCGTTTAGGTTTGGGCGATTGGACGAATACATCGACTATCCCATCGTCGATAGCTTTTTACAAGGGCGATTTATTTATTTGCCCATGAGTAAGTTTGCTAATAATGATGGAGCTAACAGAAGCAGTCAACAGAAAAATAAAATCATAGCGCTGTTTTAACAGGACCCTCTTTCATCTGCGAGCAAATGCTCAGAGTGCGCCCATATGCAACGAGTCATTTACTTAAATTCATAACAGAGAGGCAGTAGCCTCAGAAAAAAACATTTGGATGGTGGACACGTACATGCTCATGCAAGTTAGTCATGTTTGAGTCCTTTGCTCGCACTATACATCTGCACAAGCGGCAAACCGCTTTAGTTACATCCTTTGGTTTACCGCTTTCATCCAGTTTAAAGCCAAAGAAATCCCAAACTGGCTACTTTTTTTGGCAATTAGTTCGTGTTTGGACTTTTTCTGTGTTGTAAATGCACAAATCAGACTGTGCATGATTACAGACGTGTCAGAATTAATAGGCTGGGTTTGAAAACGATGTGTCGGGAGTTTGCTGTTCTTGCCAGCTCTAGTGACCCTTGAACCCCGGTGAGCTATCAGGCTGTTGGGTAACAGACATTTAATGTGTGATGTCTTGATAAACCGAGCAGATATTTGAAGTTTACACAGCTACATTCTTGCCTGAAAATATCTTAAAAGTTTATTTTGTGACCCAGAAAGAGTAATAAGAGTTATATTAAAACTAAGTAGCTGCAAACCATTTTGGGAAACTGGGCCGTGCTATGAATTCTGGGATATGGTGGGTCACGCCCATCAAAAAGTCTGCGCATGCGCGAATGTATCATTCATCGTTGGTTATTGGACTTACGATTGCCGGTTGGAAATTTTTTACATATCACCCAACCCTAATACTATTCTCTCCCCCATCCTCCACTTTAACTGTTTTATACACAGTTTGCTTTTGCATTGTTACCTGTACCTATCCTCAGAACATCTGTCACTCTGAGTGTTAAACGTAATGTTAAAAACCTGGAACAGCAGCAGGACTCACAGGTCAGCTATTAAGACATTTGCTGTCCTTGTTCAGAAGGAGACTGGTACTTTGAATTCCTACATTTTCTGTAGATCACAAAACCAACAACAGCAACAACAACAACAAGAAGCACAGCAGAAATTGACAGACCAACGATCAGTCCAACAGATCCACTCTTCTCTCCTTCATCCTCCTTCCCTCCATCCTCTCTGTGTTCTCCTGTCTGACCTGTAGGTGAGAAACAGGTGTGAGGTGTCAGCTGTCAGGTAGGTGATGAGTGAAGAACAGAACAGAATCAAACTGCTGTCAGACATTATCTACTGCACTCTGATCACATCACTCAGACCAGCTGCTTTCTACAAAGTCTCATCAACAACATCTTTAGAAACAAACATCAACAACCAGGAAGCAGCTTCACCTCTGATCACACACACACTCAACTTCACACTCACCTTGTTCTTCTACCTTCAGGCTGGTGCTGTTCAAAATTTGAACTGGCTGATTGTTGTATGCTGCATAACATTCATATGTTCCAGAATCGTTCAAGGTGACATTCTGGAGAATCACTGAGAAGTTTCCATTCGTCATCCATTTTGAATCCTTCAGCTCCACCCGACCTTTAAACAAGTCATTCTGGAGGTCTTTCTGAAAATGACCATCTTTTAAGTAAATGACATAATTATCTGTCTGCAGGTCAGGTTTGGTCCACCTTAACATTATTTCAGTAGCATCACTGGGGCCGTAACACTCCAGAATGGCATTTTCTCCTTGTCTGACTTTGACCTCTTTTTGGCCTACAGAAGGAAAAGATGAGAAAAAAAAGGAAGAAAAATCAGTAACACAGTTCTAACAAACTATTTAATTTCAATGCAATAATTCAAGCAGTCTTCTCACTTTAAACTGAACGTACCACAAAAAGGATGATAAGATGATGGAAAAAGAAAAATATGTATGAGAGTTGATAAGTGAATAACGAAGCTTTACTTGCTTTACTTTACTTTTAAAGCAGTGATGATATATGTTTCTGTCTTTAGATGATGAAAAAAATGTCTAACCTTTAAAAACGAATGTTTTGCTTTAAATCTAGAGACATTTTTGAAAATTAACTTTAAACATGTTGCTGATTTAAATAAATATAAAATGCATATTAAAAATGGTCTACACATAAATGTACCTTTTAATCAGAATCAGAATCAGAATACTTTATTGATCCCTGGGGGAAATTATTTTTTTGTTACAGTGCTCCATAAAGTCATAAAGTCAAAGTCACAGTCATAGTCCTTTCAGGTGTTTTCACAGACACAGGATGGAGCCATGACATCAAGTTAAAATTCGGTTTGTTGAACAGTGCTTGCCTAAACTGAACCATGTGATTTATGAACCATAATGAGATTAACATTTGTTTGAGTTTTAAAAAAAATCAAACAAATGTTAAAAAAAAAAAAAAATTCTACATGAATAAATCATTTCATGTCTCAGAAATGAAAAACCATTATAACAGTGATTCTCAGTGTTTACAAATTTACAAAAGTTTGTGTTTTTTCCATTGTTTAAGCACTGCTTCCAGCCAAGAGTGATGCCATAAATCCCCTATAGCTGCAGAAAAGGCTAACATTGTTATCTTTTTACAAAAAAACAGCTGAACATGAGAGGTTTTTGGACCAATTTTGTGTTCTCCATTCTTTAAGCACCGGTTTGAGCACCGTTTAAGCACCGGCACCATTTCAAAAGTACCGGTTTGGCACCGGTATCGGATAAAACCTAAACAATACCCATCCCTAGTTAAAATACTGATATCCAGTGTAAATGTTACAGTACCATCTATGAACTATTAATTGGATTGTTTCACAGATCAGTTTCATGAGACTCGCAGTTTGTAGAGAGTTTTAAGCAGAAGCTGCCCCCACGTGAAAAGTCTGTATGTTTGACTGAGTCCATGTAGTGGTCTCTTCTATTCACGGATTGTAATAAATGTAGATGTAGCCACTGTGATGCACCCATTTGCTTTTAATGTGTTTTTTTTTTTTGTTTTGCTTTTGTTTTTTTGTTTGTTTTTTTACTAATAATTGTATTAAAAACAAAGTTCCTCTTGCTTGAAAATCCAGGAAGGACTAATAAAATAATGTCTGCACAGATTTGAATCCCTGACAGGATGAATATCAAACAGCTCAATAATGAAGGGAAGTTTATAAAATGTATTTATATTCACAAGCACAAGTCACAAAGTGCTATACAACAACAAAAACACAACATCAATAGAGAATGCAGCAAATGCCCTACCTATGGAAACAGCGACATCTGCAATACCATAGAACAAGCATAAGCTTTAGTTAACACCTTTGTGTACAGTGGAGAGCCAACAGCCAAGTAGTCATTTCTCTTAAGGTCCCATTATATTCACTGCAGTAGACACCAGCGTGCTGAGCAAAAACAGCAATGAACATTATTGTCTGGAGTCACACCCACGATGTGACCACCATCCCAGCCCACAACACCTACAGTCAGTTTGGATTTCTGGTCTCATGTGGGTTCTCATCACCATTCTGTTTTGACTCTTTTAATCCGGGTGACACTGATGGGTGTGAGGGTGTCCGCACAGTGTAAATCACCACACTGCCTGTTATTTCTGCATGTTTCTAAATCGTTGCTTGGGGGTTTTGTTTCTAGGATTCATGGTGGTGTAGTCTTATCTCTTTGAAGAGAACCAGATAGTAGGAATACTCAGGATCGAATACTTGGAAAGACCAACTGAAAGCAGCTGCAGTAAAGGTCTGGCAGGGCATTAAAAAGGAGGAAACCCAGCATGTGGTGATGTCCATGGGTTCAAGACTTCAGGCTGTCATTACCAGCAAAGTGTTTTCAACCAAGTATTAGAAATGAACATTTTACTGACAGTTATTTAATTTGTCCAATTACCTTTGAGCCCCTGAAAAGAAAGGAACGTGTTAAAATATGCTTTAGTTCCTCACATGTTTATGCATCTCTTATGTACCTTTCTGTTTAACTACCTGAATTAAAGCTGAAAGTCTGCACTTCAACTGCGCCTGAGTCATGTCATTTAAAATTCATTCTGGTAATGTACAAAACCAAAATTAGAAACAAGTTGTCTCTGTCCACATAATCATGGATCTAACTGTATTGCAGTCAGTTTGCAACCTGCTTCAGCTACAGGACCAGAACATGTTTATTTCTCCTAACTCTTGTTCTGTAACTTTTATTTGGTTGTTTGGTTTCTTGGTTTCACTGTGGTGTACTCTCAACAACTCTTTTTGAAGAGAAATAGATGGCTTGGATATTAGAGAAAAGATATTGGGAAGTTCACATGTTCCCACTCTAATAATACAAGATAAGCGATGTCTCAATATGTAGCTGGTGGAATGACATGCCAGTTTGCTACTTGTTTCACCTACAAGAGCAGACAGGTGTTAAGACTTTCCTGAGCCCTAAGAAAAACAGACTCTACCTGTGAATAGTGGTGTCTCAAAAAATACAGTTTTAGAAAAATTAGAGGCAAAAATCCACAGAAATTACAACATGGGATGTGTAACATGTGTACAATAACATCAAGCAGGCCTATGAAGTGATAGCCCACCCCCACCTTGGACAAGCTGATCATCTCCATCCCTCCCTGCACCCCTCTTAGGAAACAAACCCCTCCAAGCACCCGGGTCATTAAAACAGGACTGTTTTGAACATCTTTGAACAGCCGGACCTGGAGACCTGCACTCAGTCTGTTACTTACATTTTTTTTTAATTAAGATTATTTGCAGTCTGTGTTTTTAAGGCATTACTGAAAGCACTGTGAATAAAAACAGGCAGGTAGAAAATAATTAATTTGATAGATTTATAACACTATATTAATATTATTTATATTCCATCAAAACAGCAATAAATAAAACTGACTGGTGTTTAGCATGCACTCTGGTTTTTGTTTGTTTTTTAAGCATCTCCGTCTGTGGAAAATTAGCGCTGATAACACTAGTGATAATACACACTTCCTTTTTCACTTAGAAATATACACACAAAAGTATAACTACATACACTTCACTGTGATATATTAAAAAAAACTATTTTGGATAAATGCATTTATTACTCTGTCTTCCTATACCCACATATTGTAACTGCCTGCTGGCCTCTTATGGCAAATGGCTGAAATGTAAATAAATCACGTGGCGATGGTGAAGAGGGGACTTTCTTCTGGGGTGGAGCATTGGTCTTTGATTTTATATCGATGGTAAATGGCCTGCATTTCTATATTTCTAGCTAAAAAGTTGCTTTGCGGTAATGTAATCACTCAGCTCTAAAACAAATCTACTGTTAAGTTTAAGTTAAAATTCCACTTTTAAACTTATTTTATTCAGCAGCTGCGCCATTGGAAGTGAAAGTGAAACCACGACTTGAATTAGACTTTGACTTAGAAGTTGTGACTTTCACCATTACAGAGTTACATCGATCCACGAACTGTTACAGTAACTATATAAACCTCCAAACTCCGCACATTACAAGGATAGCAGATGTTTACCAGGTTACCTTCACAGTCAAGATGTCCCAGCAGATAGAAGATAAATACTCCCGTCAGGACAGTCAATGGTCGTAACGCCGCCATTACAGTCGAAAGGGACTCTATAACAAATGTTACCGAAAGTTAACGTGTTTGTTTTGATATTTACAATGGAGCATTACCGATGTTACACATCGCTGACAAAATACGCCAGGTAACAAGTGGGCTTCACTAATGCGGTTACCTGAAAGAAAGAAGCAGAAATTTCATCGGGGCGCTCATCCAGGCTCAACTTTCACGAGAAACATCGGACTCAACTCAACTCTGCTTTCTTCTTCTTCTCACTTCTTCTTCCGAGAATGGGAAGTTTGATATTGTGGCGTGTTGGGGGAGCGGCTAGTTCTCTCCCATCATGCCTTGGGACTGCTGTTTGGATGTTCTTGTTTTGTTGTTTATGGTTACACTACTTTTAACTGTTTTCTTGAATGTTGTGTTTGTACTGCGGTTCAAAGGCACTTACAGTGTTGTTTTATAGAATGAATGCAACCGTGGGTGAGTTCTGTTATGCTGTTGATGACCCTCGAAGCACAGTGTAGCATAAGAGTGTGTTGTAATAAAGAGCTCCCCCTATCAGCTTGGGGTTGAATAACAATCTCTCTCTGTGAGGTTCTTTGTAAAGCTTCCCCTGCATGCCACAATAAGTTTATGGCGTTTTGACGGTGTGTTGAGCCTCCGAAACACTGCTCCGAAGCCTGGTTTGAAACGCCCACAACTCACGTCATCACGACTAAACAGACACCCCTGGATTTATTGTGATTCATCATTGTGAGGCGGCAGGATCATTTTTTGTAATCAGTAATTACTGAATTAATCTTTTTCATGCAACTGCTTCTGTTTTCACACAGACACACACGCGCGCACACACACATACACACGCACACACAATTGCACTTTACACACCACTGCCTTTGTAATGCAGATGCTGCTCTACAAACAATTCTTACTCTCAAGAATTTTCCTCACGCAGAAAGTAATCCTCAGTATCCTGCCTGAATGACTACCATCTCATCGCCCTGACATCATCATGAAGTGCTCCGAGAGACTTGTCATGGCACACATGAAAAGCAACCTCCCCTGCTCACTGGATCCGCTGCAGTTTGCATACTGGCCAAACAAGTCGACCGAGGATGCTTCACTTCTCTCTCTCCCACCTGGACAAGAAAAACAGTTATGTCAGAATGCTGTTCATAGACTTTAGCATTCAACACCATTATCCCCCAAAAACTGTTTAACAAACTCAGCAAGCTGGAACTGAGCACCTCTCTCTGCAACTGGATACTAGATTTTCTGTCAAGGTGTCCTCAGTCCATCCGAATCGGTGACAACATCTCCAGCACCATCAGGGTGAGCACAGGAGCTCCTCAGGGCTCATGTAAATCTGTAAATCTCTCCCTTCTGGTTGACCTTTTAACTTCTGGAGTTTAAATTTCAGAAGCTCTTTCACAAATTTGGCATCCATTCATTATCCATTATCAAGAACAGCTTATGCTCCACTGCACAACAAACTCAAAAATAAAAACACAGTACTAACCATTCAGCACACCTCCATCACTCATGTCACACACACAATCAATACTCATTCACGATGTCTCTAATTGTTCTGCTGTCTCCTCACTAAATCCAAAATGTTTACATTACCTGAGCCAGTATGTAACTACCAATCCACTCCAAGTGTGCTGATTAATTATGTGTATTTGCCCCAAATGTTCCTGACACACACTTTATGATTGTCTCACATGACTGAAATTACACCAATGAAATATTAAAAGGCACTACTCATTCATTTCAGATGATTTTCAAATTTATTTAATAAGCAAAAAAAGACATTGTGCTGAATGCCAAACATTAGTGTATAAACTTTTCATGAATACATAATTTCTTGTTATTGAATCTATTTAATTTGAAAATCATCCTGAACAAAAGTAGTGGTGATTTTTAAAATTTAATTTTCATAATTGGACATTTCATCAAGCTGAAAATAAATACATAGGGACATTTTATTTATGTAACAGTTTATTTGCAAGAAGCAAGAACAGAAGAACATTATTGTGCATGAAGGAAGTGTCATGATAGAGCCAGGTGCCGGTGTGTCACGAGTTAATCCCGTCGTAGACTGTGAAACGTTGCCACAGGCGGTACTAGTGGATTGCAACGATTGGAAGTCAAAATTTTAAAAAAGCTACTCCTACTGCTGCAAAGTATCATAATTGTCACGGTCCTGGGTCTCCTGACCCAGCGTTTTTAGTTCTTTGTGATTTTCGTATTATTGTACTTGTGTGATTTATTCTATGGCTTCTAGTTTTGATCCCTTGCCCTTCATGTCTCCCTGTGTGCCCCTCTATGTATTTATGAGCCCTCGTCCCCTTTCGTGTTTATTCCGTGTCTCCCCTGCCTGTTATGTTGGTGTTCTACTCGTGCTCTCTCTCCTCCTGTCTGAACCTCTGTGCTCCCTGTTTCACCTCTCCCGTCAGTGTTCAGTTCACCCCGCCCTGTCTCGTTATGGTTATCAGTGTCACCTGTGTTCCCCGTGTGTTCCCACTCCCCTCGTTAACCCTCTGTGTATTTCTGTCTGCGTCTCCCTCTGTTCAGCGTGACGTCGTCCCTCATGCCGTGTGTGGATCTCCCTGTGTCTCTCTGTGAATTCTTAGTTTGTGGTCCCCAGTTTAGTTTAGTTTGTATATTTGTTCTGCCAGCGAATAAAGCTGAGTTTTGAGTTCATCCCCTCGTGCCTGTGAGTCCTGCATTTTGGGTCCTACTCCTGCCTGCCGCACGGCGATTTGTGACAGTACGACGTCACCAGACATGGACCCAGCAGCACTCAACCCACCAGAAGAACTGCGTCTGGACATAATCTACTCCGTGGAAAGACTCCTGCATCTGTGGCTCGAACATGAGGGGAAGGAATTTCGCCGTGCTGTGGAAACCAGACTACAGCGCTTGTTCTCTGGTCTTCCCTGGCTACTCAGTGCGCTCCACCCACTCGAACAGGATTTAATCCGCAACGAGCTCCACCTTCATCCCCCAGCTGCTACTACCCACCTGCCTGAAGGGCCGGATGTGGAGCCGCTCGGCCCGTCAGAGCCATCATCAAAAAAGAAACGGCATTCACGCCGCCGACGCGCCACCCCGCAGCCGGACATTCGGCCTTCTAATTCACCTTCTGTGCTGCCAGAAGCTCCGTCGGCTCCCTCGCTGCTACTTCCAGCTCAGTTAGCTCCCTCGCAGCCCTTCGCAGCTCCGTTAGCTCCCTCGCCGCCACCCGCAGCTCCGTTAGCTCCCTCGCCGCCACCCGCAGCTCCGTTAGCTCCCTCGCCGCCACCCGCAGCTCAGTTAGCTCCCTCGCCGCCACCCGCAGCTCAGTTAGCTCCCTCGCCGCCACCCGCAGCTCAGTTAGCTCCCTCGCCGCCACCCTCAGTTCAGTCTCCTGTGTCCCCGCTAGCTCAGCCATTAACTCCACCACAAGCTCCATCATCCACTCTACCACCTGTTTCTCTTCCACCACAACCGTCACTACACCCAGCCACTCAGGCTGCTACTCAGTCAGTCATTCAACCCATAGCCCTGCCGTTACCATACCCTGTAGCTGAGCCACTAGCCGTCCGACCCACAGCCACTTCAGCCACTCCTTCACCCGTTACACCTCCACTACAACCATCTGTGCAGTCTCCAGTGTCCCCAGTGCAGTCTCCAGTGTCCCCAGTGCAGTCTCCAGTGTCCCCAGTGCAGTCTCCAGTGTCCCCAGTGCAGCCTCCTTTAGCACAGTCACCCACTCAACCACCAGCACCACAACCGTCACTACCTCTAGTTCATTCCCCTGTGAAGTCATTAACTCCACCACCTACTCCACTCTCACCACCACCGGTACTACAGACAGCAGCTCAGGTCCCCGTGTGTCCGGCAGCTCAGGTCCCCGTGTGTCCGGCAGCTCAGGTCCCCGTGTGTCCGGCAGCTCAGGTCCCCGTGTGTCCGGCAGCTCAGCTCGCACCTGAACCTTTGGCCCAGTTCCCCGTAGCAGTGCGGTTTTCTAGCCGGCTTAACATTCAGCCAGGGGTCCCAAACCTCTCTGGCTCTACATCAGCTCCTGCTGAAAGCTCGGATGAGCTCATCCAGGACTCCGTGGCTCCCACGCCGCCATCTACCTCGTCCGCTGGGGGTTCCAGTGAGCCCGGCCAGCACCTCCTCGTCTCCGCTGGAGGGTCCGAGAGGCCCGTTCAGCCTCCTGTCTCCGCTGGAGGGTCCGAGGGGCCCGTTCAGCCTCCTGTCTCCGCTGGAGGGTCCGAGGGGCCCGTTCAGCCTCCTGTCTCCGCTGGAGGGTCCGAGGGGCCCGTTCAGCCTCACGCCGCATCAGCTGGAGGGCCCGAGGGGCCTGTCCAGCCGCCATCTGCGACCGCCTCGTCATCGCCTGGCCCGGCCTCAGCCTCTGCAACCTCGCCTGGCCCGGCCTCAGCCTCTGCAACCTCGCCTGCCGCAGCCTCTTCAGAGCCTTCGTCTGCCGCAGCCTCCTCTTCAGAGCCTTCGTCTGCCGCAGCCTCCTCTTCAGAGCCTTCGTCTGCCGCAGCCTCCTCTTCAGAGCCTTCGTCTGCCGCAGCCTCCTCTTCAGAGCCTTCGTCTGCCGCAGCCTCCTCTTCAGAGCCTTCGTCTGGTCCAGCCTCCGCTTCTGCCTCGTCTGGCCCTGCGCCCACCGGGCCATGGCCGGCACGCCTGGGACTGGAGGGCCGCCGCTGCCTTCCGCGCGGTCGGCCTCCCGAACTGCTCCGTCGTCTCCTTCGCCGCCGCCGCTGCCTTCCGCGCGGTCGGCCTTCCGAACTGCTCCGTCGTCTCCTTCGCCGCCGCCGCTGCCTTCCGCGCGGTCGGCCTCCCGAACTGCTCCGTCGTCTCCTTCGCCGCCGCCGCTGCCTTCCGCGCGGTCGGCCTCCCGAACTGCTCCGTCGTCTCCTTCGCCGCCGCCGCTGCCTTCCGCGCGGTCGGCCTCCCGAACTGCTCCGTCGTCTCCTTCGCCGCCGCCGTTGCCTTGCGCGCGGCCGGCCTCCTGAACTGTTTCCGCGTCGCCGCCGTTGCCTTGCGCGCGGCCGGCCTCCTGAACTGTTTCCGCGTCGCCGCCGTTGCCTTGCGCGCGGCCGGCCTCCTGAACTGTTTCCGCGTCGCCGCCGCTGCCTTCCGCGCGGTCGGCCTCCTGAACTGTTTCCGCGTCTCCGCCGTTGCCTTCCGCACGGTCGGCCCCCTGAACTGCTCTGTGTTTTGGGTTGTTTTCTTGGGCTCCGGTGTTTTCTATGCTCTTTGTTTTCTGTTCCGAGCCCTCCGTCCTGGGC